TTTAAAAAACAGTTATTAAAACTGATGGAAAAAAGAATACAGAGCAGTAGTTTCAAAGTCACTTGCATAATGCCTAATTTCTAATTTACTTGCAGAAAATGTGCTTATGGCCAAAATATTATCTCAAAAATTAGTTCACAGGACTTATATAAATTTGAAGCAGAACCTTTTAGCAAAATCTTACCATAAGGAACTACCCTGCTGTATTGCTTCCAGGTGCAATGCCCCAAATCCCAATTATGGACCTGCTTTTCAGGTGCTTTGTTTCAGGTGCTAAACAAAGACAACACGGGATCTGTCTTTTGTAAGAAAACAAAAGGCCGTGGTTGGAGATGCGATGCCCATCATTTGCTTTTGCTGGCCAGAGACAGAAAGAACCAAGGTGGGGAAGAAGGGACATGGGCTATGTTACTTAGAAACATCAAATTCTGTTGTTGGAAATTTGGGAAAAGCAGCCATAGGGAGCATGGAGTTTCTCTTTCTCTGTGCTTTTTCTTTTTCTTTTTACTTTAAAAAATTGGTATATAATAAATGTACACATTTAGGGGTACATGTGATAATTTAATACATTTATGTAATTTCAAAAGATCAAATTAGTCCTCACCTTAAATATTTGTCTTTTCCTTATGCTAGAAACATTCACATTATTCTCTTCTAGCTATTTTGAAATATACAATAGATTATTGTTAACTTTAGTCACCCTACTGATCTATCAAATGCTAGGTCTATTTCCTCTATCAAACTGTGTATTTGTACCTATTAATCAACCTCTCCCCTGCTTTCTGAAACAAAGACATCTAACCAGACCTTGGACAGACTCTTGTTCTGGACTGAAAGCTTGGAAAACCTTGAAGAAGGGAGAGCAGCTGCAAGGACAGCAGCATTGGAGGGTTTTAGTCTCTCAGTTCTGTCTTTATCTCCTTAGCTGAAAGCTTTTCCTTTGCATCTAGAGGACCAAAGACCTCTGGGTCCTTAGGTCATCCAGTGCAACATTTGGCTAAAACTACCAAAGCATCAGAAGGATCAAAGCGATTCTGAAAATTGAGGCAGATAGTCTAAAAAATTCTAGCAAAACTGTACTATTGTTCAAATACTTAGATGGCTGAAGCAAAACTGGTCCTTTCGGCTTATGATAGACAACAATAAAAGTTATTTACTTACTTTGGTAGATTTAGATGAGAATTAAAATATACATTTTTTGAAAAAGCACATTAGTGTAGATGAAGCTACTAGAATACATTTACCCATAGTATTTCTCAAGAGCAGATGACCATGTCTAAAAGACAGATTCTGGTGGAAAAATTGTAGAGTGCAGTGTGAAATCTGCACATGCCTTAATCTCAGGGGCATTAGTAATAATAGTTACCTACTTCACTGGATTGTTAGGAGATATAATATTCTGGGTAAAAGAAAGAAGATTCTTTGAGCCAACCAGTGTATCTAACCTTCCCAGGATCCCGTAATACCTTCCTTAATTTTCTTTTTTTTTGGTTTATTTGGCTGAAGTTAATGTTGAGACAAAATGTGTTCTAATCTATATCAAAAGAGTTTAGAACTCGTGGGCCCATGAGTTTAGAGCTCATACTAATGCAAATTACCCACATCATTCCATTTAATATCAGAGTGATATGAGCTTTGCACTGAACAGCCAAAGCTGTAAATAATTGGCAAGAAAATGAAGGGCCTGTCCCAAAAGAATGCTTCAGGCTTTACCAAGGACAGATTCTTCAGTGAAGCATATCAGCTGCCACAGAAAAACAGAAGCAAACTTATGTCAATGAGTCTAGGACCCGCACTGCTCCAACTTGAAAGTACATTGGTGTTTGTTGAAAGCTCATTGTAGCATCATTGGCTATTATCAAGTTCTCATGGTAAAAGAAAAATAGTATCTTTTTTGCCAGAAAAGAGTGTTTGTAATTTAAACTTGTATTTTCTTGTGGAAAATAGACTAGTTTTTTTTTAAAGGACAGCAATAAGTTAAATTAATTTATGAGTCTATAAAATGAGCTGCTTCATTTGTACATTCAATGACTCTAGCTAATTTTTCCAAAACATATCGCACAGTCAAACATTCCCACCAAGCTAAGAATAGAAACAAGCTGTTAGTAAGAGGAATAATGGTGAGAAGTAGACCTGCCAAGACTGAATAATTAAAAATGATCCAGAATTGAAAAAAGCAGAGTATTTTCCCCCACCTCCTATGTTACAACATCTCACAACAGTAGCACAAATGCTTCTGTGATTTCCAACAAAAATGGTAGAATTCCTTAGGCCAAGGGACTTAAAATATAAATTCTTCCCCTACGTTCAGTACTGGGGCCACAGTGGGACAGATGCAGCTCTCTTGTCCTCTGGGTTTTCAAATACAGTCAGTTAGTTTTAAAAAAATATCATGCTCTTCTTGTTTTCATTTTTATTTATTTTTTAGAGGGGCAGTCTTACTATGTTGCCCATGCTGGTCTTAAACTCCCGGACTCCAAAGATCCTCCTGCCTCAGACTCCCAAAGGGCTGGGATTACAGATGTGAGCTATAACACTCAGCACACCCTTCTTGTTTTTAATAAGTAAAGTGAAAGCTTTTTATAAAAAGAATGTTGCTTAGCTATTCCCATTTCTGGTAAAGATGGAGAGATAGTAATAGGATTCGACTTCATTAGGAGTTTAGGGTGAGCTAGGAAGAATTTCCTGCATCTAGGAGTGATACGGCATAGAACAGCTCTTGACGATTGTGCTTTTCCTGTCCCTGAAAGAATTTGCAAATGATGATACAGCATATATTTGGCGGGGTGGTAAGTGTAGTAATGGGATCAGGAATGCAGAATATTAGTTATGGAATAACAGGCTGCTCAGTTGCTAAGGAATCCTAAAAATAGGGCATGAGTGACTAGCTGAGAGGGGTGGGGAGGAATGGATGGTTTCCTGGGTTTCAATGGGTGCCTAGATCTGACAAAGACAATGCAGAGCTGCTTTCTGCAGCTGCAGAGATTGAGCAGCAAGTATGGATAGCAATTATCTTGCAGAGCTATTCTTAACAATGGCCTAGCTCTCTGCCAGTGCAGGCCAGCCCCAGTACACACAGTCCTCAGACTCAGAGTAAAGTCTTGAGACTTGGGCTCTTGGTGAAACAGAGGTCCACAGTTCCTCCAGCAACTGTGCTCATATGCACATGCATAACCCCTCTTCCAGCCCCATCTGATTTTCAGATGAATTCCCCAGCTTGGAAAATGTTTGGGCAACAGACTCCCACCCTTCATTCTACACTGCAAAGCTGACTATTTGCACACTGAGATGAGAGAAATCTAACAGGTGAAAAATAGATAGATGATTTTATTTTGAAGCAAAGTTGTGTTTGTTGTCATCCTGGACAAGTTGACCTCTGCAGAACTTTTTGTTTTGATGATTCCTCAAAAATATATTAAGCAACATTCACAGCTTATGAAATAAATGGAAAAACTTCCTAGGGAATAATGTGTTAAAAAATTTGCCTACACATTTCCCACATCCTCTAACTGACAGCCTATCAGTGCTGTGTTCCTTGCTTCCTCTATGAGGGATTTTAATAGGGATTGTGGCTTTCATTTGCTTGGTGGGATTTTAAAAAAATTTCTGATGTTGCTATAACAAAGGGCTTTGCTCATTTTTCTTTTAGTTGATGACAAAACATGGTAGAACTGATACTTGGCTGCTGTGTAGACACCAAGCAGATGGCAGGAAAATGGAGAGAGTAGAGGAGACCTGGAGGAGGGCATCAGCAGAGAAAAGGAAACCCAGCTCTCCGGCCCTGAGCAGGTGTTGCTGTAAGACAGAGAAGGTTGGGTTCATGTTCTCTGGATCCCTTTGATGTCTTTGTCCATTCTTTTAAAAAGCTGGCTCCAAGGAAGAAAGCTCAGGGTTGTGTTTCTAAAGACTTCTATTATACCCCTTTTAGCAATATTATTAGATTATGGGCTTGGAGACTTAGTAACTGTGGTTTGTGGGATTATACTAAGGACATCCCAACCCAACAGAAAAACAAATCTTTCCCCAAACTTTCATTGAGATTCACTGCTTTATTATGACATTAACTTTTCCTGGAAGGCTCTGTTTAGTTTAGACAGAAAAAAAAGAAAAAATCTTGGTAGGGAAGAACTGTTATATCATTACCAGAGATTATTACCTTATAATGTGATGGCTAGCCAAAAGACTATAGGACAGAGAACATGTGGGTTTTTTCTATTTTAAATATGAAATATAATTTAGGTATAGTAACTTTCAGCCTTTTAGTCTAATACAGTGTTGCAAGTATTGACAAGCACGTGTAGTCGTGTAACCACTACCACAATCAAGATATGGAGCAGTTCCATCACATAAAAATATTTCTGCTTATTATATCAGGATAATATCAGATATTATCCATATCCCTTCTGGTCAAACCCTTACCCAAACCCTGGCAACCATTGATCTGTTTTCTGTTCCCCTAGGGTTACCTTTTCCAGTCAATGTCATATAAATGGGTTCATTCAACATGTAGCCCTTTTAATCTGGCTTTTTTCACTTAGCATAACAGATTTGAAATCTATCCATGTTCTTTTGCATTTCAATAGTTTGTCTTTTTTTTTTTTTTTTTTTTTTTTTTACTGCTGATTAGCATGTCATTGTAGGGATGCACCAGAATTTATTTATTCATTCCCCAGTTAAGGAAATGCTATGAAATGACTTCTGTCCCCTGCAGATTCGTATGTTGAAACCCTAGCTCCCAATGTGATTGTATTTGCATAGGTCCTTTAGTGTATTTGCATAGGTCCCAATGTGATTGTATTTGCATAGGTCATTTAACAAAGATTTAATGAGGTCATAAAGGTGAGGCCCTAACCCAATAAGGTTGGAGCCCTTATAAGAAGAGGAAGAGACATCAGGTCTCTCTCTCTGCAAGCACACAGACTAAGTAAGGAAAGGTTATAGGAGCATACAACGAGAAGGCAGCTCTTTGCAAGCCAGGAAGAGAGCCCTTGCTAGAAATTAAATTGACTGGCACTTTAATCTTGAACTTCCAGTCGCCAGAGCTGTAAGTAAATAAATTTCTGTTGTGTAAGTCATCCAGTCTGTGGTATTTTGTTATAGCAACCCAAGCAGCCTAGTGGTCAGAAGGAAAAAGTCTAGCTAGGATTCTAGTCACGGACTATGAGTTACTAATATGCAATAGTCACTCAATAACTGAGTCATGCCCTAAATGGAGTGGCCATGGTGGCTAGTCTCTGCTCTTTAGGGAGCTAGATAAAAATCAGTGAGATAACTGAGGGCTCACAGCTAGAGCATAATGGAGAAAAATGGAGGAAAAGCCAGAATGAGAAAAGGTGACTTACTTGTCATGCTACCAGCTGCTCTTTATTTTAATGGGTAGTTTTGCCTAAACCAATTCAGCAATGTAAATGCTTAATTCCTTCCTTCTACAAGGGAGAGAACTTAAGCCCTCTCGGGGGGACTTTCAGGGAGTCCTTCTTGGATAAAAAAAAGTTTAAGAAAAAGGCCATTTCTTGGAGTATCTGCTAAAAAGCAAGTTCCAAGGAAAACTCAGAATCTGCAGTTTTTAAAAGTCAGATAATTCTGATGCAGACTGTCCTAGAATTTGATTTTCAAAAATAGTTTCTCAGAAATGGTTGATGTTTTCACTGCACCACTTGTATACATCAAGCAAAATGCCACGTTTTAATTATATCATGACTTAGATTCAGGTCCTACCTCCCAGAAAGATGCATAATACCTATTTGTACATTTATACATACAAATAACATACAGACTATGATTGCTTATTTCAGTATATCTATGCGGAGAAACCCAGACACATTACTATTACTGAGACAAATGCATCTAAAAGTAGTTCATTGCCCTTCCAGGATCCATGGGTTTCTGTGCTTAAAATCCTTCAGTCAAATCCTAGATGTCAGGCTGCTAAATGTGCATTCCTTAACATCTTTTAGTGGGTTGAACCCTAAAAGGAGAGAGTTCCTGTGAGCATCACCATAGGGCATCAGAGGAAGACAGCTGTCGTTGGCTCCTGGTCAATAATCGGCAATGAAAAATGAATGTTTCAGTACTTCTGAATAGTCTGTTTAATAATTTGGAAAGCAGAATGCATCTCTCTGATGCTCACTAAGCATTTTTGGCAAGTAATTGAAACACATTTGTCTTCTCTGACATTACCTAATGGAGATATCTAGTTTCTTGGAACATGCTGAAAGTGACTGACTAAAATGTGTGCATTTTGCACTCTACAGTAAGGTGTGTGTGTGTGTGTCCCACAAGTAGAAGCAGATCACCTTGGGCCCCCAGCCTGAAAAGTGAAACTAATGAGTTCTCTAGTGGCTGTTCAGTAGGGTGTTTGTTATTAAACCTCTGAGATCCGAGTAAGGTCTCAGATCTTTTAGGGCTGAACTCTGGGAATTGAAAAAAAAAGTTTTAATGGAAGCCTATCAAAATATATTTCAGTTAAAAAATATTTCATTTTAAAGTGAGTGGGAAGGGAAACAGAAGTTAATTAAAAGGAATACCGTAAGTGCTGTAACCCTGTTTTAATTCCTGAACCCTGAGAAGTAGTGACAGTAGAAAATTTTGATTTATTGAGACATGTATATAAACATCTTTAAAATTAGAATATGATGAAGATGACAATGATAATGAAGAATAAGAAGAAGAATAAGAATTGGTCAATTTTTGGTCCATAATATCTTAAGAAATTCTCATTAGAAATACATGGTCTCCAAATTAAGAAAAAAAATTAAAAAGGTAGTGAGCAGTTAAAGAAAAGTGGAATCTGGGACTCTGCTTACATTTCATCAGTCCTCAAACTTATCCAAGAAATGGCACAAATCTTGGAAAGGAAAGGTGAAGCTGTGGGTTTTCATGGGTGCAGTCAACTATGTACAGGCTCCTTCTAACTACTTGAGGAGAGATAATTCTAGGAGACAGACTGCTTTCACTGTAGGGGCACGTTCACTACTCTGATTAAAAACTTGGCTAGGCAAAGTTTCCAAAACCTGTCTTTACTAATTCATACCTCCCAGTTGAACACCTAACACTGTCAGCCTAGTTTTGTATTACAAGAAAGGTGATAAAATCAAATATTGTTAAGATGGGCTCTTCATATGAAAACATATTTGCATTTGATCCAGTTTCATAGAATTTCTGAACATCTATCGAAAACTCTGAGTAATTGAGAGTTGCAGATGGATAAATATATATCCACCATCCACTGTGAAAAGTACAGGAAATACATGTTGTTTATGCTCTGGGACACTTGTCTTTTAAGATGGGTTGTGAATATTAAATGTTATGTTTTAGAGTTAGGGTTTGAGAAGAATCAGAGGAGACATAGTTAAAGCCAGTCAATATATTTCGAATTGTGACTCTTCTCATCCAAGCACCAAAGGATTTCCCCGGGGCAGTGTTTGAATATCTTGTTTTCATTTTTGCTTAGGAAGTATTTATTTTCACTACTCAAAGAGAAAAAAAAATGAGAATTTTTATTTCTACCCCTTCTCAAAGCTTTGGTCACTGGCTGTCCTTTCCCCTCCCAGAGTCCACTATTCAGTCCACTATCCAGCACACTCAAAATCTATTAAAGTGACTATATGAAAACATGGAAAAATCAGTAGGACATAATAATAAGTAAAGAAACTCAGGTTCTGGCTGGACGTGGTAATTCACATCTGTAATCCTAGCACTTTGGGAGGCTTTGGGAGGATTACTTGAACCCAGGAGTTCAAGACCAGCATAAGCAACATTGAGAGACTCTTGTTTCCATGAAGAAATTTAAAAAATTAGCCAGGCATGGTGGTGCATGCCTGTAGTCCCAGTTACTCAGGAGGCTGAGGTGAAAGGACCGCCAGAACCCACGATTTTGAGGCTTTAGTGAGTGAGCTATGATTGTGCCACTGTACTGCAGCCTGGGCGACAGAGTGAGATCCTGTCTTTAAAAGAAAAGAAGGAAAAAGGAAAGAAAGAAAGAAAGAAAAGAAAAAGAGAAAGAAACCCAGGTTTAAAATTGGATTCATGAAATGATTATAATTATACTGAAATTATCTGTATATGCAGCTAAAACTTGAAAGAGACATATGGTAAATGAGGCCAAATGATTTGTTGGTCAATACTGTTATGTTGCTTACAAAAAAATAACATTCTTTAAAAGATCTGATTGACTAGTACACTGGCAACTATAAAATGCTTATAAAAGAAGTTAAAGAAGACACCATAAATGAAAAGACATCCAGTGCTCATGGATTGAAAGACTAAACATTGTTAAGATGTCAATACTCCCAAAGTGCTCTATAGATGTAATGAATGCAGTCCCTAGTCCAACAACATATTTTTGCAGAAACAGAAAAATCATCCTAGAATTCGTACGGAATTTCAAAGGAGCCTGAATAGCCAAACCAATCTTGAAAAAGAAAACCAAAGTGGGAGGTCTCATACTTACTGATTTTCAAACTTGCTACAAAATACAGTAATCAAACCTGTGTGGTACCAGCATAAAGACTGACATATAGACCAATGGAATAGAATAGTGAGTTCAGAATTAATTTCTCTCATATAAAGTCAAATGATTTTTGACAAGGGAGCCAAGACCATTCAATGGGGTAAAGGACAGTCTTTTCATTCAGTGTTGTTGGGAACACTGGATAGCTACATGCAAAGGAATGAAGTTGTACCCTTACCTTATATCATATACAAAAGTAAACTCAAAATGGATCAATGACTTAAATGTATAAGCTGAAAGCATAAAACTCTGAGAAGAAAACATAGGGGAAATGCTCCATGCTACTGGATTTGGCAATGATTTATTAGCTGTGACATTAAAAGCATAGGCAATGAAAGAACAAAATAGTTCAGTTGGACTTCATCAAAATTAAAAAACTTTCATGCATCCAAGAACACTATTAACAGATTGAAAGGCAACCCACAGAAGGGGAGAAAATATTTACAAATTGTGTATTTGGTAATGGATCAATATCCAGAATATATAAAAAACTTCTACAACTCAACAACAGCAAAACAAATAATTGATTAAAAGTTGAACTTGACTAGACATTTAACCAAGGCATATAGATAAATGATCCATAAGCAGATGAAAAGGTGTTTAACCTCACTAGTCATTAGGGAAATGCAAATTAAACTGCAATGAAATACCACTTTACACCCATTTGAATGGCTATAATAAAAAAAATCACTCGGAAAATAACAAGTGTTGGTGAGGATGCAGAGAGACTGAAACGCTGGTGCATTGCTTCTGGGAATGTGAAATGGTATGGTAATTCCTAAAAAAATTCAAAACAGAATTAACACATGACCCAGTAATTCCACTTCTGAAAATATACTCAAAAGAAGTGAAAGTAGGGACTTGAACAGATATTTATACACTCATGTTCACAACAGGGATTTCAATAACAGTCAAAAGGCAGAAGTAACCCAAATGTCCATCAACAGATAAATGGCCAAAGTGTGGTATATACATATCATAAAATATTATTCATCCTTAAAAAGAAGAAAATTCTTACATGCTACAACATGAGTGAACCTTGAGGATATGCTAAGTGAAATAAGTCAATCATAAAAGGCTGAGTATTGTATGGGATTCCTCTTTGATGAGGTTCCTGAAGAGACAAATTCATAGAGGCAGAAATAAGCATGGTGGTTGCCAGGGACTGGGGAAAGGAGGAAATGCAGAGTTTGTGTTTAGGGCATACAGAATTTCAATTGGAGATTGAAAAGTTCTGGAGATGAATGGTGGTGATGATTGCACAACAATATAAATGTACTTAATGCCATAGAACTGTACATTTAAAAATGGTTACGGTAAATTTGAGATTGAATGTATTTCACCACAATATTAAAAAAAAATCTGATTAAATACACATTCTTTTTTTTTCCTGCAAAACAAATCATATTAAACTAAATGCACATTCTAACTCTTTTATCCTAGGTAGTACATCCTGGGGTCTTCATTCCTATCTTTCTCTATATTCCCATTTCCCTCATCTCTGCTCTCAATAAGATTGTTGCAGATTAATT